AACCTGCAAGACATTCTTTTATCTGTGAAACACAAAATGAGATATTTTGAAGAACATTTGGTGTGCTAACAACATTGGACCCCATTGGATTTAATTGTATAATAAAAAAAAACATTACTGGGACATTTTTAAAAATATCTTCTTTTGGGGTCCACAGAAGAAAATAAGTCAAACAGGTTTGGAATCACATGAGAACATGATGATTTTTGAGTGAACTATCCCTTTACCGACATTCCAGTGCCAGTTCTGGTCTTCTGGGAAGGATAGATGGTTATATCTGTTGTGATGCACTCACAACGTTCTCTAAACTGTCTGAAGATATGGGATACGAGTGAGACTGACACACTGGAGGAATTCAGGTTAGTCATAACAGCTCTTCACTTATATGGACATTCGATCTGAGTCTCGGGGAGTTTTGCTGATCTGGTGTGGTTAGCTTGGCTTGGTGCTTCTCTGAGCAGCTTCCTGAAACTGCTTAATAGTTGGATTACAGCAGGTCTTAAAGTTCCTTGAGGTTTACTCTGAGAGATGTTATTAACTATTTATTTCCTGTCTTCTGACCCTTGTGTCAACCTGTCTCCTGACGATTCTACCTGAGGTTTCATTATTAGGGGGCAGATATTCCAGTGCCAGTTCTGGTCTTCTGGGAAGGATAGATGGTTATATCTGTTGTGATGCACTCACAACGTTCTCTAAACTGTCTGAAGATATGGGATACGAGTGAGACTGACACACTGGAGGAATTCAGGTTAGTCATAGCAGCTCTTCACTTATATGGACATTCGATCTGAATCTCGGGGAGTTTTGCTGATCTGGTGTGGTTAGCTTGGCTTGTTGCCTCTCTGAGCAGCTTCCTGAAACTGCTTAATAGTTGGATTACAGCAGGTCTTAAAGTTCCTTGAGGTTTACTCTGAGAGATGTTATTAACTATTTATTTCCTGTCTTCTGACCCTTGTGTCAACCTGTCTCCTGACGATTCTACCTGAGGTTTCATTATTAGGGGGCAGATAGGTGATAGCTTTGTATTGTACGAGACAAAGCAGTGCAAGACAGTATTATATGTAAAAGCAAGATAGCACTTGATTATGCAATGAATATGTATTGTGCTGCGGTCATCCAGTGAATGATGTAGTGATCAGGGACTGTGATATCACTTTTACATCCTGGTTCAACAATACATGCGACTACAGTGAGGCTTTTTGTTAACACCAGTTTTGGGTGGATGCTGTTTTTATCTAACACAAAAGCAATTGATTTTTAGTCTATTTATAAAGTAATTCAATGATCTGACATCCATTTTGAATACCTTTAGTTTGGTGATTCCCAGTTATTAATCATTTTATTCAAGACTGGAGCAATGGCTGCTGAAAATTCAGCTTTGTCATCACAGGAATAAACTTAATAATATTTTTAAAAAAATATATATAAATATATTTCACAATATTTATGTTTTACTGTATATTTGATCAAATAATTGCAGGGAGCATATGAGACTTCTTTCAGAAACATTAAAACTGACACCAAACTTTTAAATGGTATTGTACATGCACCTCAGGGGTACATAAGTTGGTTCTAAGTGGTCAAAGAGAAAAAAATAAAAAGTCAAATTATATGGGTTTTTTAAATCTATTATTCTATCTTTTCTATTTTCATCCTATCAAATGTCTTCAGACCAATATCAAACTAAATCTGATTCTATATGTTTAAACTGCTTTGGTTTGACAGGAAGCTACTATTTGGGTTTTTCTCCCATAGTGTCTGCTGCATTTAGTTGAATAAAGTTCAAACATTTAGTTTGTAGGTATCTGGTTTGATGTTGATAAAGGCAATACTAAGCCAAAAAAAGGTTGAGAAATACTTTTTTTCAGTCCTGATGTCATCAGAAAGTGTTTACTGGGTTCTCTCACGTCTCTTGGCAGTGTTTCATTTATTAAAAGACCCACTGCATGAATGTAACACCAAGTAAATAATCCTTTGACCTTCTCTGATATTCAACATGCTCAACTAGTTGTTCTCATTATGCATAAAGCAGATTATACACATGATTTTAATGCAACTTTGCTATTTTCAAAACAATCTTGTCCTTGATATTGACAGTGCACAGACACAATATACCAAAATTTCAACATATAAAACAGATAAAGAATAGTGACAATATGATATGAGGAATAATTTGGTGTGTTACGTGACAGTGGGCACAGGTGACCTTTGACCCGAAACTGCAGTACTACTTACAAGCTTCTGAAGTGTCCACCTCACCCAGACCTCATCACCTCAGAGACACGTGGCGTGTGGTTAAACCTACTAGAACGACAAAACAACTACAGTGAACTTTAAAAGACTTACTCAGGAACCAAATCACAATGGTAAAAGAACAGTTGCTTTTTAATATTGAAAGAAAGGCCAACTCTTTTTACTTGGTCACACAGTGCAGCTCTTGTTTGAGTTTAGAGGTGTTCTGATAAGAGATCAGGATAGATAGCAGCACAAAGATAGAGTGACACATTCATCTGCAAATAAGAAACCAGTGCTGTGCTGTTTCTTTCTCAGAAAACATCTGCAGTATTTTTTATAATACATTTATGGTAAAACATTGTTCGTTCCCATTAACCTGCAGTTACTGAGCTGTATTCTTGATTTTTCATTACTTGGCAAAATTTCCAGTCTCTACTATCAACAACTCTCAAAGCAGAATTAAAAAGGTGTTGCGACTGATAAATTAACCGGTTCTATAAGAGCATAACAGAAATTTCAAACAGATTCCATATTAGTATGGTGGCACTGCATTGTTCACTGATCTGTTTGACAACTTAATCCACAGAGTAAGGGAATATTGGCTTTCATTTCAGTTTAAAGGTGAAGTGCGTAATTTCACCAAACAGAATTGCAAAAATAATTAATGTTTCCAAACTCATGCCATTGTTTGAGTTGGCAAAAGTCTTTTCAAAGACTCTCAGCGTTTAAAGTTTTGGGGTTGAATTAACTGCTATGTTTGTATCTGCATACACTCTCAAAAATAAAGGTACAACAGCTGTCACTGGGGCGGTACCTTTTCAAAAGGTACATATTTGTACCTAAAGGGTCTAATTTTGGTACCTTAAAGGTACATATTAGTACTTAAAGTGTACATATTACAAACTAATAGGTACAAAAGTGTACAAAAGGTACCGCCCCAGTGACAACTTTTGTACTGTACAAAAAGTTGGAATAGGACAAAGTATTTTAGCATCCAAACTACACACTTCAGATTTAAAATAGTTCTTCCTGTTATGTGTTAAGTCCATTCAGTGTTTTGTGGGAGTTTTTTGACAATGTGAGATATAATAAAGAGAACAGACTGTCCAGAGATCTCAGAGGCTTTCGTGAGCTTTAAATAGTAATTCATCCTTTTGAATTTAAGCAGCTAGACGCAACAGAAAGCAGCGACGTCTTAAAAACACAGTGCTCATGGCGCAAGACACTGAAAAAAAGAAAAAAAGTGGACCGCACTATGTACCAAAAGTACCGCGATACATATCGTGGGTGGTGTACCGCATTTTTTCGGTTCGGTTAGAATATCGTTACACCCCTAGTATTGAACCTTCTTTAGTTTCATAGATCGCTATTATATACAGTGTCATATGAGATGACTGAGTAAAGAAAAACCTGCAACTGTATTTGTCTAGATAGATATCTCAGTGCCACATTGATGAGCATAATAGATGGTATTTTCACAGCTATGCTAGACTGTCCTTTATATCAGATAACACAGGATTTATTTAGTGTTGACATGTTGACTAAACCGTTGAATTAATAGCTGTCCTGTTGAGGAGGGGTTGGCAGAGAGTCATTTAAGAGAGTCAGTATGTTGGATCTGTAAATCAGCAATGGTTACTGATGCTGAGCTGGCTTATAGCAGACAGTCATGTGCAAGTTATAGGGAAGGCCCTTGTCATAACATAGCCTACATGCTTTATGTACACAAATGGGAGTGCCAGGATTTTAGGAGCAGGAAATGTTTTTTATGGACTGAGGCTATGTGTTGACGAAGGACTGCAGATGGTGGAGATTGACCGCAAAAAGTAAATAGCCTCTCTTACAGAAAGAGAGAAACAGTTTAGTGTAGCAGGCATTACATGTGCTTTGATAATGTTGAGTTGCTTCTCATCTGGTGGCTGAAACAGAGAGAGTTTGTCATTAATAAACTGATCCAGACAGAATCTCTGCATAGAATAGAACTGGAACAGCCGCCATTCACAAAAATCTACACATACCCACCGTTTGACTTTTCGTTTATTAGTTATTTTGGTACAATTGATCATACTTTCAGTAACTAAGAGTGGAGTACCAGGATTTTTTTATATTAATTAAATTTTTTTTTTTTTTTTCATTTTATTTTCAGTTTCAGAAAATCTCTTGTTAGTTTTAATTTTGTTTTAGTTGTTGTTTATTTTATTTTATTCTTAAGTTAATTTCCTGATTCGTATCCTTAAAATGTTTTAAACAATGTTACATTTCAGTTTATTGTCATTGCTATTTAGCAACATTTTCATGTTTACTGCAGGTACGCATCAAAAGTGTCAAGTTTCATAATATGCCATGTATCATAAACTGAAACAAAAATATTATTAAACAAATTATTTAGTTTAGAGTCATAAACGTGTTTTTGTTTAGTTTTTGTTGTTGTTATTGTTTTTAACCAAAAAATATAATGCTTTGCACACCTGCATCAATGGTATCTGGGGTGAAAATAAAACATATTTTGAGAATTTTCACAATTATATTTTTTTAGTTAAACTTTTTTTTTCATTTGTCAGTTTTTGTTTGTGGAGTACTCTTAGCTCCATTTTTAAATCAATTCTGTGGATTTTCCTTCAAAATCTGCACAGAAAGTGTTTGAGCCTCTTTTTCCTTTTATTTCACTTTTTTTGTTAGATTTTCAATTGTCACAAGTTACAATGTGATGTGTCATACAATGCAAACATAAAGCTAACCAATTGCCTCATCTGTATCTTCCACAGGAGATGCCCCTGATGTCATGAAATTTGACATTTCTAAGGAGGGCAGCACTCTGTCTGTGGTGGAGCAGGCCAACGTGTGGCTGTTCCTTAAAGTTGCCAAGGGCAGCCGAGGGAAAGGGAAGGTGTCTGTTCAGCTCCTGCAGCATGGCAAAGCTGACCCAGGCTCTGCGGACGGACCCCAAGAAGCGGTGGTGTCCGAGAAGACTGTGGACACACGGCGCAGCGGCTGGCACACACTACCGGTGCCCCGCACGGTGCAGACCCTGCTGGACGGGGACAGCAGCTTGCTCAGTCTCCATGTCTCCTGTCCAATGTGTGCCGAAGCCGGCGCTGTGCCCATCCTGGTGCCTGCAGAAGGCAACAAGGGCAAAGAGAGAGAACAATCTCACCGACCCTTCCTCATGGTCGTGCTCAAGCCAGCCGAGGAGCACCAGCACCGGCGCAGCAAGCGTGGCCTAGAGTGTGACGGCAAAATCCGCGTCTGCTGTAAACGGCAGTTCTACGTCAACTTCAAGGACATCGGGTGGAGCGACTGGATCATCGCTCCGTCTGGATACCACGCTAACTACTGCGAGGGCGACTGTCCCAGCCATGTGGCCAGCATCACTGGCTCTGCCCTCTCCTTCCATTCCACCGTCATCAATCACTATCGGATGCGCGGGTACAGCCCCTTTAACAACATCAAGTCGTGCTGCGTACCCACGCGCCTACGGGCCATGTCCATGCTCTACTACAACGAGGAGCAGAAGATCATTAAGAAAGACATCCAGAACATGATAGTGGAGGAGTGTGGCTGCTCATAAGACGCCATGAACTCCTAACAAACACTTCAATGTTGGTACAAAGCACATATCAGAGGACTGGCAGTCTGTGTTCACCCACAAACTTTTGAACTGCAAACTCGGGCAGCCTATTTGTTTTTCGATCATTCCAGTAGGACTGATTATTGGAGCGGTCTTTGTGGCACTTTCATATAAAAATGATGGAGGAGAATAAAGCATAATATATTTTTTTTAATGAAGGGAGACTGAGAGGGAACGGGTGCATGGGTCAAAGTGTCAGCCCTCATTCTCTGCACTGCAATAAAGAGACTTATTTTGAAGTGTGGAATTATATATTCTGAGAAGAAGAAAAAAACATGCAACTCTATGCAAGTCAAGTATTATTACTGGATGTTCTTTTTTTATTATTATTATTTGTCTTTTAGCTTTTGTTTAATGTTGTTTTTATTGTCATCCCTTTTCTCACAGACAAAAATTTGTCATTTTTTAGTACATCATTTAGTAGTTTAGTAGTTGTGTTTATTTCATTTTTCTTGAAATACTTGAACAAAAATTAGTCTGACCAGCTGCTGGAGCCAAACTACATTATTATTGTTATTATGATTATTATTATTATATTGCTATTATCTCCTAAACATTCTGAATGTTGATGAAAACTAATATAAATTTGCACTAAGCCAACATTCGTACCATGTGAGCCCCAGAGCATTATGGGCCGCATTCTAGTTGCCATATCAGAGTCTAGAACCATACGCATTTGGAACTTACACATAGTAAACCAAAGACCATACACATCCCTTTCTCAGAGCAAATCCCCAAAATGCCCAGCTCTGTGAATTTATTCAAATTAGGAACAACTGTGTATGGCCAACATAATGTACCATTAACTCAATATAGCACATAAAATAACTTTCATTTTTGTTTGTTTGTTTTTTTCCTGAAACAGCCTCAATGTTAAGATACTTTTTGCTCTCTGTGTTTCAACAGTGTTTGTCTCTACCAATGTATAACAGAGGTCTTAGATTCTGAACTGAAACCTAGCCTTCAAACATTGTTCTCGACAGAAACATTCAGTAAAGAGAGAGATAGAAACAATGTTTCGGCAGTGGCAATCTGCTTTGTCAGATTCACAGTACAAGACACTAAAGGAACTTACTGTGTTTTATGTAGAGTTATGCAACATATGGTGATATGTTGCCATGTTGTACAAATCAAAATATGTATTTGTCATGTTTTATATCTAATTTATTTTGCAGCATATTCTTTGCTTCACTATTAAAGCTGAATTGTACAACTTCATCTTTTGGTTTAAGTCAACAGTGTGTGTTTACCAGGCCAGATGATAATCTGCATTTCAACACTAAATGCAAGTTAGTTTGGGTTTCACTAAATGTAGTCCAATTAAGTATATATTTTTTGCAAATCAACTGACAAATCGGTCACGTAACCCCAAATATCAGCACTACACAGCCAAAGCAGATGCTGTGCAAACTGTGAACACCTCAAGGGCTGTTTTCTGTCTTTTTTAGCCTGTTGGGAGGTTTCACTTGTAAGGAGTCAAAAGAAACATCTAATATATATAATGTATTATATATACTAATCTGACTGATATTCCAGTAAAAAAAAAAAGTAATTAATTAATTATAATAATAAATTAATAAATAGTCATGGCTCAGATTTGAAGTTACACACTACAATTAAATTTTTTTTTTATTGTACTTGAAATAAGTCAAAATAAGAAAAAAAACCCCCAAGAAATTATGCTCCCCATGGCTGCACTTATTTGATCAAAAGTACAGTGAAATGTAATATTGTGAAATTTGACAATATTACAATTTAAAATAAGTTTTTTATTTGAGTATACAGTAAACTGTATACAGTATTTTTATGATGGCAATTTTCAGCATCATTACTCCAGTCTTCAGTGTCACATGATTCTTCAGAAATCATTCTAATATGCTGCTTTGCAGCTTAAAAAAACATTTTTGATTTTATTATCAATCCTGAAATCAGTTGTGCTGCTCAATATTTTTTGTGGAAACCTTGATAATTTTTTCAGGATTCTTTGATGAATAGAAAGTTCAAAGAACAGCATTTATTGGAAATAGAAATCTTTTTTAACATTATAAATGTCTTTACGTTTGATCAATTTAATGCATCCTTCCTTGCTGAATAAAGTATTAATTTCTTTCCAAAACTTTTGAACAGGTGTGAAAATCACAAACCGATATGTATTATAAGTACATGGTTTTCTATTTAACATAGTCAAAGCATAAAAGGCCTTCAATAAGAGATATGTGCACTTACAGGGGGACCTTGTCAGCACACCGGCATGCTGTGTCAGGACAAGAGATGTGACCCAGGGGTAGAAAGGTAATTACCGCTATCATCACTCAGCAAATAAAACCCCCACAGGTCCTGTGAAAAAGAGCCTCTCTCTCTCAGAGGAGGACATAATCTCTTCCCCATAAACCCTTCATGCCATTTAGAGCACAGCAACAGAACACACAGCTGATTTATCACTAATCATCATTTGAAACAAATCTCTCAGCATAGAAACGCAAAAAAAGATGATCAGAGTTCACATGCTTACCAATCATTTCATAGCTGCCTCCATTATAATTAACGTGACAAGTACTTTCATATGACTTCTGCCTTTGAAGATCCAGTAAGAAATATAGGTCAAGGTCAGTTCTCTTTTCACTTAGTCTTGCTAACTTTACAGAGACGTTCATTTCGCTTAGACATCTTGACGTTTGAGGCTTGAGGGTGTTTACATGAGTCTTTAATTATCCGCCTATATCCACAAACAATAGTGCATGTGTAATATTGCTGGTGACTGTTATCCAATGCGTCACACATGCATGTGTGCCTTTATAGTGCCATAAAAGGAATTCACATCTTTGTTGTGTCTACTTGTGTTGATAACTCTACATCCTCTGGTAACATTCATCAGGAACCATAAAAAAGGGATGATGAACCAAAACAGACACGGCAGAGTTCAAGTTCATTTCCTTGTGAAAATTTTTCCACACAAATACAAACCGCAATTTTAAATGAATTAATTCTAATATTATTTAATAATTTGTATATATTAATCTACATTTACTAATGTCATATAATGATTTATAATTAGCTATTAACTGACTTTCTGTTTAGAAACAAGCTGCTTGCAAACTGTTGCTGCCATCTAAGATTGACAATGTATATCATCAGTAGACCTTGTGAGGTATAAACATCACATGATGCATTCCTGTCCTTCAAGGACATGAGCTTGGAGAACTCAAAATACCCCCGACAGGAGAATAAAGGCTGAGAGGAGGGGGCTGGATCTAAAGAATCTGTGTGGGTGTTAAGCATTGTCAATCCTCCAGGAATAAATGTGTTTGGAAGGGTGTTTGTATATGTTATAAGGGCTGAGGTGTTTATTTAACACCTCATCTGTCAAAATGAAGACAGGGGATGTGTTTTACATGCCTTCTAAAACTTGGACTCTGTATATACCATCTCTCTGACAGTATGACACATTTTAAACCCCTGAATGGGACATGGTGGCCTTGAATCTGGCCAGCGCCTTCCCATTCATATTTACAGAGAGTCTCAATGCTGGCTTACATTAAATTCAATATTGGCTAAGTTCCCCATTCAAGAGTTGTGAAAACTGGTAGTCTGTTGCATGCATATGTAAAAAAGCTCTTTTTGAAATACTGGCTGAAGGACAGATTGAAACATGAAGTACAGTGGTTTTCTGAGCACTGTGAAACAACTGATATTGGCACAAATCTTTTTAACAAAAGGTTCCTCAAATTTCATCTCAGTGGCCCTAAAGACCTAAAGTAAGTTAAAGGAATATTCTGCGTTCAGTAAACTTAATTAACAGCATTTGTGGCATACCCCAAAAATTTATTTCAACTCGTCCCTGGAGCTTTCTGTAACGGAGCCGATGTGACGAGAGGCATGTGGATCCATATGCAAGCTTTTATTTACAGGCAGGGTCAACACAGGCAAGAGTCGGACACCAGCAAACAGATATGTAGAGGGCAAGACAAAAGAGGAATCCAAACAAAAGAGGAATCCAAAACAAGCAACAATCCAATCGAGGTGCAAACACAGCCCGAATCAGCAAGGCAAAGGGTAAATCCAAGACAGGCTATAAACTTCAGGGCAGGCAGAAATCAGACAGGACGAGATAACAGGCTAGGATCAAGACACGGGAAAACAGACTATGAACAAGGCTAGACTCATGAACTTGGAAGGGCTCCGTAAAGTAGCTATCCCTAGGTGAGCGATAAATGCTGAACAATACTCGGCATTGAATGGTGGTGTGAGACTGATTTATATAGTGTGTGTTATTGGTAGCAGCTGTGTGTGATTGGTTTCAGGTGAGCTTGTGATTAGTGCAATGGAGCATGGGAAATGTAGTGAATCAGCAAGGCAAAGGGTAAATCCAAGACAGGCTATAAACTTCAGGGCAGGCAGAAATCAGACAGGACGAGATAACAGGCTAGGATCAAGACACGGGAAAACAGACTATGAACAAGGCTAGACTCATGAACTTGGAAGGGCTCCGTAAAGTAGCTATCCCTAGGTGAGCAATAAATGCTGAACAATACTCGGCATTGAATGGTGGTGTGAGACTGATTTATATAGTGTGCGTTATTGGTAGCAGCTGTGTGTGATTGGTTTCAGGTGAGCTTGTGATTAGTGCAATGGAGTATGGGAAATGTAGTCCAGGGTGATGTGTAACAGTCTGTGTGGTGTGAGAGTCAATATAAAGGGAGGGCGACCTCTGGTGGCAAGCAGACGGAAGTTCATGGACAGGATTCGTGACACTTACGGTGAGGCACTAACAATGGTAGAGACTGGGCCGATTTTTGGAAGATTTAAAAGCAGAAATGTGCAGCTTTCAAATTCATAAATGCACTTACATTGAAGGCTGGAATGCAGTACATGACTTTTAAAATCTGAAGAGATTTTAAAACACTAGGCGTCATATACTTGTAGACTTTGTAAATGGTTACAGAGAAAAATTAGAAATCATGTACTAAATGACTGAGGATCACTCACTATCAGACCTTCAAGTTGCTCTAAACACAACAAACTTGCGTAGAAACAAACGCCTAATTACTAGAAGCCACGTGACAAAAGATTACAATGTGTTCTAAAATCAACTCAAAATATCAAACATGATTGATATGCCTGGATCTAACTTTCGATAACTAGTGTCAACTCCTCCAGACTGTAAACCAGGGTGAAAAAATCTGGCCAAAATTCACGTAGTGTTATCCAGCCTTATTGAAATTCAGTTGTTCACACTTACATTTAATAAATAGACTAAAGGTTTTGCGTATTTGGCGTGCTGTCCGAGGGGAGGGCTCCGAGCTCAGAATTTGGCCCGAACCCAGAGAAGCCAACCATGATGTATTAGCTGAGCTGTAAAGCTG